GAGTCTCCTGCCTCTGCCTCCCAAGTAGCTGGGACCACAGGCGCCCGCCACAATGCCCAGCTATTTTTTGGTTGCAGCCATCATTGTTGTTTGGCAGGCCTGGGCTGGATTCGAACCCGCCACCTTAGGTGTATGTGGCTGGTGACTTGGCCACTTGAGCCACAGGTGCCAAGCCAATACTTTTGTTTTGAGACAGGGTCTTGCTCTGTTACCCGGGCTAGAATGCAGTGGCATCAGCCTGACTCATAGCAAATTCAAATTCTTGGGCTGAAGAGTTCCTCCTGCCTCACCCTTCAGAGTAGCTGGGACTACAAGTGTTTAATACCATGCCTTACTTATTTTTTCTATTTTAAGTAGAGATGAGGTCTTTCTGTTTCTCAAGCTAGTCTCAAACCCCTGGCCTAAAGTGATCCTCCCACCTTGCCTCCCAGAGTGCTAGTTTTATAAGTGTGAGCCAGCACTCCTGACTGTTTTATTTTGTTTTTTTATTACCGAAGGCTAGGTAATATAAAGAGGATCCAAAAATAAAGTTACCTACCCCACAGTTTTGCTCAGAGAAATACTTGCTTGGGGAGGGTCATTTCATTAGACCCTTTGAGAAATCAATAAAAACTATGAGCTGGGGTGGCACCTGTGGCTCAAAGGAGTAGGGCACCAGCCCCATATACCGGAGGTGGTGGGTTCAAACCCGGCCCCTGTCAAAAACTGCAAAAAAAAACTATGAGCCCACTTTTCCCAGAAAAACATACATGGCGGATACATCACATAAATTTTTGCTGTAATTTCAAAGTATTTAAACCAATTTACAATGTTCATTGTGTTGTAGATCAATAAATAAGTAAATAATAAACATGTTAGAGACAGGGAACAGGGTGAGAGAAGGGGGGAAAAGGGAGGCAAGGAATAAAACCAGACAGATGTTTCTTTAGCTAAGATAGACTATTCTGGGCTGTTACTAAAGCAGAACGAGCTGAGATTGCAGTTGAAAATTTTGCATTTCAGAGACTGCTCAACTCTTGATCCCCACAGAGGGATTCTTCAATAGGGACTTTTTTTTTTTTTTTTTTTTTTTTTTTTTTTTTTTTTGCGGTTTCTGGCTGGGGCTGGATTTGAACCTACCACTCCAGCATATGGGGCTGGCGCCCTATTGAGCCACAGGCACTGCCCAGTAGGAACTATTTTTTAAGAAGCTTGTCAGCCAGGCAGGGTGGCTCAGGCCTATAATCCTAGTACTCTTGGAGGCTGAGGCAGGTGGATTGCTTGAGCTCAGGAATATGAGACCAGCCTGAGCAAGAGCAAAAATTCTATCTCAAAAAAAAAAAAAGCAGAGTATTGTGACAGGCACCTGCAGTCCCCACCACCAGCTACTCCGGAGGCTGAGGCAAGATGACCACTTGAGCCCAAAAGACTGAGGTTGCTGTGAGCTACAATGTCACAGCACTCTACTGAGGCTGACAAAGTGAGACTCTGTCTAAAAAAAAAAAAAAAAACCACTAGTGGCTCAGTGCCTGTGGCTCAAGTGGCTAAGGCGCCAGCCACATGCACCTAAGGTAGTGGGTTCAAATCCAGTTCGGGCCTGCCAAACAATGATGGCTGCAACCAAAAAATAGCCCGGTGTTGTGGTGGGCGCCTGTGGTCCCAGCTACTTGGGAGGCTGAGGCAGGAGACTCGCTTGAGCCCAAGAGTTGGAGATTACTGTGAGCTGTGATGCCACAGCACTCTACCCAGGGGGACACCTTGAGGCTCTGTCTCAAAAAAAAAAAAACAGTTTAACAGCTGTTTACTGTTATTATTATTATTAACAGCATCCATGATTAATCAATGCCCTATCGGTATCTTGAAGACTTTCCAGAGGAGAAGTTAGTTAAGAATAGGGTGGAGTGGGCAGACATGGTGCTCACACTTACAATCCTAGCACTCTGGGAGGCCAAGGCAGGAGGATTGCCTGAGCTCACGAGTTGAAGACCAGCCTGAGCCAGCATAAGAACTCATCTCTAAAAATAGCTGAATGTGGCTCTGCGCCTATAGCTCAACCGGCTAAGGCACCAGCCACGTACACCTAAGGTGGCGGGTTCGAATCCCCAGCCCGGACCCGCC